TTATCTCAAACCTTGAGCCCTTTGAAATATTGTCTCCCCCTGTCTAGCGGAGAAGGGGAAGTGAGAGAGCGGCTCTGTGGGCACCTGGCTGCCGGCCAGGGTCAAACCATGACAAATAGGTTTCTTTACGTTGGGAGAGCAGAAGAGATGTGTAAAAACAGATGGTATAGGTTGGCATATAAGACCTTGTATAGATTGTGAGAGAAGGTATTTAGTGTTCTGCAGTTACTACTGTTGTCTAACCCTTCAGATACTTAGTCAACAAGAAAACTTCGCATTACCAACAAATTGCATACTTCTCTTCAGAGATTAAGAAGAACCACCATGGCACTGGAGAAGGTGTCTTTGAGTAGTGTCTGAAGGGATGTAATGAATGTGGAGATCTGTAAAAGAGGTTTGTATTGGAATGCTGTAGAGTAACACTGAGCTACTAAGAAAAATACTTGGCAAATCATTTTGAGGTAGTGAGGTTGCTGACTTTTGGTTTTGAGAAGAAAATGGAAAGGAATCGTTCTAGATCTCTTTTGAATAGAGTTACTGAATGAGTGGAAAGTATCAGACCTTTATACATAGGAAGGAATAGATGAAGTGTCACATGCTTGTGTGAAGAAGGACGTGTGTGTGTGCAATGTGCAAGTGATGTGGTTCAGCCGTCTCGCCTTGGTGTCTTTTTGAGACTTGACTAGTGGAGGGTAGATAAATATTAATTTCACTTGTTCATCACACTTGCTCAAAGATCTTTGCCAGCTGGAGACAGGTTCTGTGAGTGTTAAATTCCTATTTTAAAAAAAGGGGGGGAGGGGAAAAAGAGAAAAAATACCTTCATGTCATATTTAGAACAACTTGAAGGTACTTACTTAGATAACCTTAAATCCTGGATGAATGTTTGTGTTTGTGGGGTTTTCCTGTGCTTTCTGTGAAACATGTGCAAAGTGGAATGCAGAAAAACTGCTTTTAGGTTATATCCTTTCAGGAGAAGGGAATCCTGGATGTATGTAAGAGCTCTTGAGAAAGCTTCTGTTGCAGGAATCCAAATAGTTAAAAGCAGCTGTACTGGCTCTGCTGCGCTGAGGGCAGGATGGTTCATCGCAGGAAAGAGCAGGATGGCTCTTACAGGCACGCTTCCACTGGAGAAGCTGCCTGTTGTGAAATGGGAGTAGTAGGCATCTTGGTGTGGACTGAAATTACATTATTTCACTCCTGACTTTTGAAATTGGCAGGGAGGACTTGTCTGTAGTAGAACGACTTTTCCAGTAGTGGAAAAACCCCATTGTTCTTACAAAGCTGTTTTTTTGAGTCTGGCCACTGGTAATCCTTTGTTTTGTTCTTCTGCAGGAGACAGCTGGATGTAAAGGCTTCATGGTTTATCCAACCTGAGCTTTCATTCTGCAAGATCAGTTTTCTAACTAGAGGCTGAATGCTAAAACCAGCCTGTGCTTTGGCTGTGGTGTAGTATGTTCGCTGCTGTGAGGGTTCGGGAAGATTTGTAAGGCTCAGCCTTGGGAACTGGTTGTTTCCTACAAGTAAATAAAACTACTGGCATAGATGAAAAAGAGACATCAAGAAAATTCTTGGTCTTTGTTCCTGTACCTGTAATAGCTCGTAAGTTGTTTTCTTCCCCCTACCTCAACCTACAGTTGTGTAGCCAAAGTAACGAGAGAATTTGTGTCTCAAAGTCTGCTGAATGGGAACTTAACTGAAGTGATGTAGATGAGTCTTACTTGAGCTGCTTTGTGCTGACTTTGTGGTACATTCCTTGGGATGTATTATTTAATTTTTTTTAATCTTGCCTAATTCTTTTATTACTTACCCTATTGGAATTTTTAAAGGATTTTTCTGTAAGCGGACAGAACAGGACATGTCAATATTTGTCTGTAACCACATCCTGCAAAACCATGACTTATTAGTCTTGTTGAGACTTTTTTTTTTTTAAGATGAGCTCAGAATTTTGTAATGAAATTCATACACTGAGTTAAAAAGCTTTGTGATTTGAGTGAAAACATCATGTGAACAAACAATACATGAAAACAGCTAAGCAAATAGCAATTAAAACATGGACAATAAATTTCAGTCATGAGATATTGTCGGTGCTGTTTTCAGATGTGCAGAAGGAAAAGCTCTCAATTGTTCTTAAGTCGGCTGGTAACTGAATCCACATTTGCAGAGCTTGACAACAAAAGGCCTTTTGTTCACAATTTGTATTCATCAGGACACGCCAATTAGGGAGCGTAAATAGAACATAGTGTTTGAGCAGGCCAATATAGCATGTTGCTCATTTTGTGACTTACTAGAAATCCATAATTTATATTAAAATATTTAGAATTACAGGTAGAAGCTACTTGTTGGATGATGTTTAGGTTTCTGCCTGAGTGAGCATGATGTAATTGCTCTGAGGAAGCACACACTGCTGTGTTTGATGTGGCAGCAAGATGTGCAATCCAGGCAAAACTCTGTCTGAATATTACTTGCAATCATTTCATTAATTTAGTGAGGTAATAATGACTGGGGCAAAGCTGGTGGGTGCTTGATAAAAGAAGCAAAAAGGCTTTTTACAACCACTGTTTGGAAATAAAATATACTGAAGAAAATTATTTTAATGCTTCCCCGCATATTTGTTCAATTCCAATGAGCTTTGTTCTCAGTGTGGTTGTATGACCATATGTGATTTGCATGTCAAGTAAGCATGACAGACTTTCTCTGCTGGGCCATTCAGGAATGTGCATCTTCTTCCTGCTGGGGTGATCCTTGTGCCTCCTGCGCTCTCTACAATAATCAGCGTTCTTTTTGTAGGATGTTACCCTAATCACAGAGAATGAGCAGGAACGCAGGTGAAACTGTAGCAGAACTGGCATGTACAATTTTACTGACATTTTTCTGTGCATTGCCTAGTAGGAACAAAAATCTGGTTAAAGAATGGCTGACATGAAAGAACAGAAAGAAATAACATTCAGTAAAACACATGCTCCCTGCCTCCGTGTAATGTTGTACCTTATGTTAACCATGCAAGTCATGCTGCTGGTTAAAACGGATGAGTCCAGAAACAAAGCATAACGGTTCCCAAACTGTGAAATGCACTGAGGTGTTGGGTGTGTGACCTGATAAATGAGTACATCATTTTAAGTTGGCAAGAATTTGTTGTGGTGTATGGAACAGAAAGTTTGAAGTTTTTCTTGGCCTTTTGAGAAGTATACAAGGTGTCTTGCTGGTGGACAGGTATGCATATGGGGGTTCTTATGTTGGTCGCTGGTTTAAACTCCAGTTATGTAAAGATTGCATTTCTTTTCTGCCCTTTTTCAGGTAGCGGTGCCACAGCAGTTGTCCAGGCAGCGCTATGCAAACCCAGGCAAGAACGTGTAGCAATAAAGAGGATCAACTTAGAAAAATGCCAAACCAGTATGGATGAATTACTTGTAAGTAAATCAGAGGTGGAAATATTACATGGAGACTATCTTCTGTTTTGATTTTGGTTTTTGCCTAGTCCAAGAGTGAGGGTAGAGTTTTATACAGGATGATAGAGAGAAAAGGATTTGAAATAAACCTTACCCTAAAAATGTATTTTACTCATGTATATTTTCTAATGCCACAAAACCAAGAGTTCAAGTTTGAATCTTGGGATATCCAGCTGATGAGAACTGTGGGAAGAACCTTACTCCTTGCGTTCTGGAGACTCAATTTTTAAGATGCTACCGTTTCATTTTCTGTCTTTTCTTAATACCAAGGCAAGATACATTTTCCTTTGGTTAAGCACTGAAAGATAAAATTTAGTAGGTCTCCTTAAAATGTCTAAAGCACCGAAACATGGCAGAAAGTAGCTGTTAGATTATTTTGTAATGATAACTGTTGAGGGGAGAAGTAGGAATGGCTATATGGCCATCTGCACAAGGAAACTCTTGTTAAAGCTAACAGCGTGCATTTATCCGCCAGGCCCTTGAGGAGGGCGCTTTGGTTGGGTCACTGATCAGAGGAGGAAGGGACCTGGAAGAAGCCCTTTGTACAAAGGGCTGCAGCAGTTCCTCTGCGCTGGTCGTGGTGATCCAGACAAATGTTAAAAACCAAAACGTGATGCTTTCTAATGCTCCTAGTCAGGTGCTTATGAAACTAATGCATATTCATATATAGGTAGCATAACAAAAGTTGAAGGACACAAGACCATTCTAAAAAAGTGAGAACACTCTCTTCTGTTCCACAGGTTATACTACTGCCTAGAGACTGTGGGCTTTTTCTAATGCAGAAATTCCTGCCTCTGAAGGAAATGATCTCCTCAGCAGGGAATTGCCAGTGCAAAAGATATCTTGAATTTGATACAGAGGGTATGGTCCATCCAGTTTCTTCAGATAAAATGGCTTTTTTACAGTGGAGGACCCAAAATGCTCTTCCCCTGGTGATTGATGGCATTCGCCTTCAGTTCGTGTCACAGCTTGTATGGGACATTGTTGTGGTTTTTAAAAGAGGATTGTGGTAGTGGAAGCTACCTCTGAGGTAGTGAGACTTCTGTCAACTAAAAACTCAAAAGATAAATTCTGAACTGTGTTAAGGAGAGAGAGCAGCCCAAGGTGAGATGTTGTGCATGATGTATGAACACCTACAGTCCATAAAGAATAGTCCATGAAGTACTATAAAATGGTCAGATTTGATCTTTTTTTTTAAATTAGAATTTGAACTAATAGCGGGAATTAAGAAATAAAAAAAGTACAACAAATGAAACCAAACTGCCAAAAATCTGCTAGAGGTATTTGAATATTCTAGAGAAATGACTGGAGTTACCTAACAGCTTATACAAAGTTGCCTGAGCAAGTGCTTAAGTATCTTTAGTGCTGACACGTCTCCAGGGTCTGTCAAATGAGGCAATAGGGCTTGGAAATTTGGTCTCATCTGGGTTTCTTTTGCTACGAAGACAACCATCTTTTATTTTTATTTCTTTTTTGTAACATAAGTCAATTTCAGCTTTCCCGTGTTCAGATTTTGTGCTTCTTTTATTTGTTGATCTGATTTGATCTGAACATAAAATTCTGCTTTCAGAGTTCCTGGTTAGGAGGGTAGAAAAATCCAGAAGGGCCATGTATGATTCCTTTTATTTTTATATGTGCATACACTCATATGTACACATGTACATACTTAAGTAATTCTTTTCTTTCTGTGGGGAAAGTGTATTTTGACAGTTCTAACAGCGAGATTTAAAAGTTTTGTTTAAAAACCAGAGACGTTATTCTGGAAAAGGGCATTGCTGACCTTCAAACACTTGTTACAACTGTACTAACATTATTATTTTGGTTTATAGTAATTAATAACCAGCTCTCGCGTTCTGGAGTTTTTGACACTGTTTTTGAGTCTGCTTAGTTTTCAATTACTTATGTTTCTGATCAAACAGTTTCCATTGGCACAGGGATGTTCTAAACCTGTCTGCCCTCTGAACGTGCTGTTTTGTAAAATCCTGTGTGGTGTGCACAGGCACCCTTCACAAATTCTCAGCTGCGTGGCCTTCAGAGAAGTGGAAAATGCAGCAAGCCTGGTGCCCACGTAAGCAGCCCTCGGATTTGGGCCAGGGTCAGTTAAAATAGAAGGGCAGCGTGGGAGGGAGTTTAAATAATGCTGAGGTTACACAAACTGCCAACTCCTGAAATTCAATACTCTGTTTCCTGCAGTGTCCTGTGTTCTCATTATTGTAAGCTCAATGTAACTTAACACCATGAGCCAAGGAAAAGTTCCTGTCCTTACTGTTGTCCTGACTGGGTATCTTCCCCCACCCTCTTACCTCCAGGTCTCCAAAACAAGCTAAAAACTCACCGCTGCACACCAAAGAGTACTCTATAGGATAGCTTATCTGACTGAATAGATTTTCTGAACTGTTGGCATTTCTGCTCTTGGAGGCAGGCTCTCTGGAGGAGCCCGTCCTGTGTTAGAGCCAGCCCTCCAGCAGCTGCACCCTGGTGTCCGGGCAGGAGACCTGGGCAGAGCACCCAGGGAGCCGCGCGCCTGCCTGCTCGCCGGGAGCCAGGCCCTGCAGCTGGGCGCTGAAAGCTGTCCCGCGGTTGCTCATTAACTGTGTCACCCACCTGCCCTTAGGCTCACACATATTTTTGTGCAGCTGCTCAGTGCAGCCGGATCAGGAGTCACCTGGCCAAAAGGTTAGCTTTTAACCTGGGCATATCTCCTGATGAAGTGCGCTCACGTGTGCGAGCACCGGGGAGGGTGAAGCAGAGGGCTGAGGGAGAGACTTTTTAGTGCTGCTGTAGCTTTTGGTGATGTGACGTGTCTAAAGATGTGAATGTGAAGACGACTCTGGGGTGTTCTCGATGTCCTGCTGGAAGCTTTTCCTCTGACTCTGTATTCAAAGTGAATGCTTTTCTCTCTCACCTGTGCCTGAGCCTCAGACAAATAATTGATGTGTGATGGGAGCTCTCCAGAACTGCAGGTCTGAAATGAATACTTTTCTGAACTTTAATCCCTTCTCTCTCCTGGGGCACTTTCTGTTTGTTTATTTTTGTTTTGCAAAGACTCTTTTTAAAAAAAGTCACCAAAGCTGAGACACAAGGTGCTTTTGGCCATGGTTCCTGTGGCAGCTCAGTTTTTGCTGAGTTCATGCAGGCAGACAAAATATTCAAAGCACTTTTCAGTTAAAGATAGGGAAGCTTACCACAGTTTCTTACATTTCTACCCAATTAATCTGTGAGTAAAATAACTGAGGTGTATTTTTGCCTAGTAGTGGCAGGCAGACTTTTTGAGCTAGCATTATGTTACCAGCATAGGAAAACAACAAAACAATATAAGAAATTAAATAGTGATAAAGAGTAGGAGAGTTACAGTTAAGATTTGGTATAGACAGCTGAACTAAGAACCCGAGGCAGTAATCTGACTTGTGTTTAAACTGACATGTCTTCTGGGAAAGGGAAATGTGCCCCGCATAGCTTTCTTCCGTTTTTCACCTACTATCTTCTAGGGGAAGAAAAAAAGCTATTTTGCAAACTCCTCAGTTGTTCAGGGTCATTGCATGACTATCCAGGTATTCATGCTTCTGTGGTTCAGGACTCAGGTTGTCTAAAGAGGAGTACTTTTTACAACAGGATGAGCTGAAAAGTGAATAAATAGTGATTAACAGGTATCATGAGATTAAATCACAGTCTTTAATACACATAGTTAACTTTTTATTGGAAGGCAGCTGTGATCTCGAGTGCATGGCAGATAATAAGAACAAAAAATCCCTCTTTCAAACATTTGCTGAATTGAGATTGAAAGTTAAAAATAGCTTTAAGCAATCTAAGTGGGGCTGCCATAGTGCTTGCCTTGCATGTGTGACATGGGTCCACCTGAAGGCAGTTGCTTTTCAGGGAGGGAGAGAAGGGAGGTGGAAGAGTCTGTTTTTCAGCTGGATTGGCTCGCTGACTGGCTCACTGCCCAGGAGCATGTCCTCTGGCACCAGGGCTTCGTGGCTGGAGGTGGAGAAGTAGGGTTGTGGGAGCCTAAGTTGGTGTGAGGCCAAGCCCTCTGGTACAAAGGAGGCCTCAACACTCCTGTGTCAATGACTGGCAGGACAGTGTGAGCTGCTGGAAAGGTGTTATAGAACAATTATGTGACTAGAAAAAGGACTCTGTGTGAAATCACAGATACAAGGCAGTCGTTCTTAATGTGTACAGCTGTGGCGTGTCATAGATGGGTTACGTGGTGGTGCCACGTCATGCGTATGTTGGTGATTGTGTGTTCCTCTAGTCAATTGTTTCCTCTGCCTTTTTAGCGGCAACATTGCTTTTTCCTCTTGCGCTTCTCTTCGATTGCGAGGCTCTGGTGTCCACCTGTCCATCCCACAGTAGCTGAGCCTGTGGTGCTCTGGTCTTTGTCCGACAGTTTCCTCCCTCCTTTCTCGCATGCTCCCATTCTACTCTTTTCATAACCTTTTTGAACAGGAAAGGCAGTAGGTTTTAATCCTTCCTTGCGTTTTGTTGTCTTGCCTATACCCACACCTTCAGCTCTTGGGTGCTCGTCGTTCTTCATTGATCTCTCTGAATTTGGGACTTTAACAGTAATTTCTTTGCTCTCAAGAAAATTGATTTGGTTATGCCTGTATCTCCTGGCCAAACCTCCCTTGCATTCTTTCTAGTGATCTTTTGTCTTGCATGCAGATCTATAGATAAAATAAAATGTTTTGGTGCCCTGATGCATATTCTGTGCATACTTCAAGCTCTGTTGTAGTGTTTCACTTTGGAAATTAAACTTTGTCTCTATACAAGCAGAGCTGATAGCTGGCTGTGTTATGTTGGGCTTTGTATTTCTTACAGAAAGAAATTCAAGCAATGAGTCAATGCAATCACCCCAATGTGGTGACCTACTACACATCTTTTGTGGTGAAGGATGAACTTTGGCTGGTTATGAAGCTCTTAAGTGGGGGTAAGTTACTGGTTTTACTTACTTAGCTGCAAATTGTATGCTTTTTTCCTAATGTACTTTTTTTTGAGTCAGTTGACCTCAACCAAAGAAGGAGAGGGGAGAGAGACTGCATAGATTGAACCTTGGGACATAGGTGTGTTATAGCAAGGAATGTGCAAGCTTAAAAAGCTTGTATATGTATATGGATTCAGGCTAAGAATTACTGAGAGAAATTCTGTTGATCTAACTACTGTAATTTTTTATTCTGAATTAATATAGTAAAATTTTCTGTTAAGGCAAAAAACTGGTGAGAATTAAATCTTTTATGTTAGTGGCATTTTTTTTAGTCCACTCTATTTTTCTAAAAATGCAGACATTCCTGATTTTGTAATCAGTGTTTCTCATTGCTTATTCAAATAAAAGTCTTTCTTGGACAGGCATTATACAGGGTGCATCCTTTTTGTTGTTTAAACTAACCAAACACTCATTACAGTTTTTATGATGATGGTTAATGGAATAAAAATCTTACTTGGTTCTGGGACAGGAGAAAGGGGCTGATCTGAATGTGCTTGTGGTTTAGAAAATTAAGGCTCCAAAATATGCTACAGTGGCCCTGGTTCCTACATGTTGTTCTTCAGGATTAGTCTTGATGGCAGCAGACTACCGAGCCGTCATGCTAGAAGGCAAGGATGGGAAGTGCTCATAAAATAACACTTGTTACGTCATGTTTGGTTGAATTGTTCAGTTCAATCAAAAGGAAGCATAGACCCTGAGAGAAACCAGTGATTCATGACAGGAATTTACGGCGAGCTGTTGAAAAATGCTTGGATAAAAAGACAATGTTGCTGTTAGATTCCTTGAAATGTATAGTAACTGAGGCTCAGTGTCAACCTGGGTGTCACGAGGGATGTTGGCATTTGTTGGCAGAGAGTATCTCCTTCCAGTCTTGCAGGTGCGTGTTTACTCTAGGGCACGAACACATGAACCATAATCTAAGATGGATGATAAACCAAAACCTTTGCTCTACACGTCTGTTTAAATGTGGGGTACTGCTGAATTTTTAATAAATGGTAGCTGAGCAATAAGATCCTTTTAATGGATTGTTGAGTATTACAGTATTCTTGACAAAAACCTGTGCTTTGTTCCTTATTTGAATGAAGTAGCAGTGTGCTTTATTCTGGGAGCTAGTTACATGAGGTCTTTACACATAAAGGCAAAAATGTAAATTGCAGTAGTATAGAAAGAATGAAGAAATACAACTTTCTCACGAATCTGACACGATAATTCTATATATATGCTTTTTTCTTTTTCTGGACCTGCAACATAGGTTCAATGCTTGATATAATAAAGTACATTGTTAACAGAGGAGAGCACAAAAATGGTGTCCTTGAAGAACCCATAATAGCAACGATTCTTAAGGAGGTTTTGGAGGGCTTAGACTACCTGCACAGGAATGGGCAAATTCACAGGTAGGAGCATATGCACAGTGACAAGTATTTTCAGTGTTGTGTGTACAGTTTGTGTGCTTGGCTAAGCAAACTGTATTTGTCTCTTTCATACACTGTATGCGATCAGTAATTATTAAATGATAACGCTCAGGCACATGCTGTAATCTTTACTGCAGTTTATCACTGATGCTTAGGGCTTGCTTGTTCTTTATTCTGTCTCTTTTCTAGTTAGGATAAGGCTGTGCTGCACTAAGAATGCCAGAACTGTGGTCTGTCCTCCTGTGCCTGCTGGTACTCCAATATCTAATCTGAGCCTAGTTACTGTGATACGGTCTGTGACTCGGTTATTGTGTTGCACCGTAGACCTGGGATCTTGGGCACTCGGGCACTGCTGAAAATGTGAGATTTGCTTTTCCCTGGTCAGCAGTAATGTCTATTACAATTCTACAGGCCTCTCTTTATACATGTGTATCTGCGTCTCTTCTGCATATTGTCTCTCCGCTGACTGCCCCAGCGTACATTGTGCAGCTGCCCAGGGTGTTCGGTAGATGTCTGCTGTAACGATCCACAGGTCGCTCCCACTGGTTAGTTGGTGGAAGGGCTGTACTCTCACCACCTGAATTAATTTTACTGAGGCGATTGTGCCTTTTAAGGAAGGTGCCGACAAGAGGCTCTTTGTCTGTTTCAAGTGTTAGCCTTTTACAAGGGGATCTGTTAAACAAAAACCAGATTCAGTGCAGACAAAGCCCTGAGAATGGAGGTGGTGCAGATATAGCACAGTGATTGTTCTTGATGTGTACTTCTTATGTCTCATCTTAAAAATGAACTGCCTCTGTAAATCAAGAACTTTTTCTCCTTTTAGAGAGAGAAAATCAGGATAAATGGAGAGATAAAGAACAATTATCTTGACTTCTGATCTGGGATGCCAAAGATGTGCCTCAAACCTTAATTCATAGTCTTCTGTTAAGCTGATGTTGTTTCAGGAGGAACATTCATTAGCTTTTAAGGATAATAGATCTCTTTGAGATCAGATTTGGGAATTCCCCTTGTCTGTTCTTAAAGGACCTTAAACAAGATAAAAAGAGAGAAATGTGTTTGTTACATCTGAGATTTCTCCTTTTTTCTGACACCTAATTTGTAAGCTATGCAGTACCAGAGGAGTCCTGTTCAGGATGATACAACGTGTGTGCCTTTTCCCACCTATGTCATAGGTGAAAGCTGTGACAGTTCTGGGAATGTTGTGTCATGTGGTGTTTTCTTGTCAGTTGGAGATGTTTCCCAAATTGTTCAGGGATTTTGTTCTGTTGTTTTGATGCGTTCTGGTTTACGTGTAAGAAAACAGGTTATGTGTTGCCTTTCAGTAGCAATGTGTGAATTATTTTCAGTTGATCTTGGAAAGACTGATTCGCTTAAATTTATGCTCCAGTTCATGATACATTCTGTATGAAAGGTTTATCCTGTGCTTTAAGAATGGGATGCACGTTCTAAATAGACCCAAACAAACAAACAAAAACCCATCCAAAACCAGTTAGAAAGGTTTCTTCTAGCATTATGTGTGAATGGTGTATTAAATTGATATAGTTGACTTTTAAGCACATGCTGAATGTTTGATAAATTCAGTGTCAAGTAACTTCTCATCATGGTACCTTATATCACTATAGGGTTGCTATCCCTGAGCTTTAGTAGCTTTATTGGGTAGAAATCTACAGTATGTTTACCTTTCTTGAAGATGGGGATCTTCTCTGAAGAGGTCAAAGAGGACATTTTTATGTGAGCTTTTTTCTTCATTAGTGATGCAGTTGGGTGTGAGAAAGCATTAATTCTTGCTTTAAAGCTCTGAAAGCTCTCAATTTGTGAGATTGCATTTGTAAACCACGATAAAACAGACTTTGGACATAAATATTTCTGTTCTTGAAATCTGTCCCTAAATTCTCATTTTATGCCAAAGCTAATTCGAGTGTTTTTATACAAGAGAGTTAGAGTTTTGAGGGTTTGATTTCTACATTCTGTTTTATTATTAACTAGTTACACGTTATACTTCAATTCCTCTTTGTCTTTTACATTTTAAAATGCTGTCTTGTGAAACTGAATAGTATGCAAGTTTTATTAATTTGTTTATTTACATTAAATGTACTTTCATACAAAAAAAATTGCCTCTGTTTGTACATTCTAGAGATTTGAAGGCTGGCAATATTCTTCTGGGTGAAGATGGCTCTGTACAAATAGCAGGTAATGGTGGTGGTAGAGTAGTAGTTAAATAAGAGAAAAAAGCTGTTTGTGGCTGGTTTGGGGGCAACAGATACAAGTTTTTCTGTTGGCCTTTAACTACTTGTTTTAGAGTGCTGCAGATTTCAAGATTCTTGGTTAACGATATGCGATTTAGAAACTATTTAATATTTTTATGTGTCCCATCAAATTCATAAGGAAGCTTTTTAATATCCTCTGAATGTCTCTATGTGCTTCTCGAGTGATAGTTCATAAGAATCAAATTATTTGATCTTCACAAGAGTTTACAGACTGAGCAAGACCCCATATCTCATCTCTCAAGTTAGTATCGGGTGTCTGGAAAATAGAACAAGCTCCCCTCTCCCAGCATGCTCTCAGGCCTTTCACAGTTTATAGCTTATGATCCAGTGATGAAAATTTTGTGTTTAGTAGCCCTCAGTAATAAAAATTGGCTATAGCCAGACGTTCTTTTGTATATAAACAATGCTTTCCAAGTACCGTGTAAACGTATATTTTGAGGGCCTTAGTGTGCCATTGTCTGAAGTCTGTGAAACCGAATAGGAAAAGATCAGCTGGCAGGTCAACCGTTTACTAATTGGAACAATTTTAAACCTTCTGTTTTGAGTTCAAGGCTTTTTAAGTAGGAGGTTAATTGTATAGACTTGAGTTTTAATAAGATACGTAGTATTTATTTATTCACTTGATTATATCCTACAGTTGTCTTCACTTTGTGTAGCACTTAGGGCAACTGCTGAGGTTCTAGGTCTGTGTGTTCAAGTGTTTTTTAGATCTTGTATTGTCAAGCAGTAGATGTCCAGACAACCAACTTAATTCTGAATAATAATGTTGAAAAAGTTGAAAGATAAAACCTCATGAGCCATCTGAAATAGAAGTGTTGACTTTAGGTTATTACTTTCACACATAATCAAACCTACTCTCCAAGTAATCAGATGACATTCAAGCAACAGCTTCATTTATCCCCTTCTAGTCAGTTCCAGGGCTTGGTTCCTTGACCTTTTCCTCCTTTTTGCTGTAGGCATCTTAATGAGTACGGCCTTCGTTGTGCTGCTGGGGCATTCAGTGCATGCAGGACTAAGGAAGTTCAGTGACTGGACACATCTGTGGAATGTGTCTTTCTGTGATGCGTTATTGCTATACCTGGTTATTTGTGATCTTCAGGTGAAAAGTGCAGCAATGTCAAACTTAATTCTTTGTTGGTGTGAGGCTGTTCTGTTTGGGGCAGCTGAATAGTGCATATTAACTGAAAGCCTATTTTGGATGTTAAAAAGGCTGAAATTTGTCCTTTTTACATCTTTTTGCCTCGACAAAGTAAAATCTGCTTTCATCTTTGAAGAACAGATACCTGGTAATTTTGCTGGTTTTTGTTTGCTAGAAAAACTCAGTTTCTTTTGACTGCTTGATCGTTTGCATCCTAAGCTTCTCTAATGAAAATACACATCCATAGCATACACCATTAATATTTATGAGAGTAATATTTGAAGACACAGTTATCCATTAACATTTCTGGGTTCTAAGGGGCTATGGCTCACAAACGAAGCTCAGCCCAGTGTTTCTCTGACAACAGTTTTCGCGTGGATACAGAAAGCAGTTTCTTCAAAGAACTGGGAGAGCTCTACAAGAGACCTCTGATTATGGACCTCAGAGGTTCTGCTTCTGCACAGAGAATCTGCTTAGTCTTTGGTGGAAAAGAGGAAAATACACATATTTTTGTTTTGTTTAAGTTGGTAAGACTTGTTTTTAAAGTACAAAATTCCTCTGCACAAAGCAGGGAGCTTTTGACTTGCCCACAGATATGATTCCAATAGTCACTGCAGTTCCTCAGTACCAATAGTCTACTTAAACCTATTGTAATTATAACATCTGGTGCTTTGAGAAAACAAGATGATTGGTACTTCATCAGATTTCAGCTTTCTAAGCCTGAATTGCCTGGTGAAGGTCAAAATATCAAAGAAACCAGTAAAGCATCAGATGTGAGATGAGCTAAGGAGCATATAGCAAAGAAGAATCACACACGTAGACTGGTGGAAGTAGAGAAGGTGCAGGGCTCTGTGATGCATTTAGTCCATACAAGAAGTGACAATGTCAGTAAAACTTGTTAGAAAAAGCATGTGCGTTTTGAGGAGTCTGGGCAGAAGATCCTGCTTTTGGGTTTTGTGCGCGAGTGGCTGTGTGAACTTGCCCATTGCACCGGTGGTTCTGAGGGTGTTCACTCTTGTGGTAACCTATACCCACAGAAATATCTGGCAAAGATCTGGTTACAAATAGGCAGAGCTTATGATACTCAAGCCAGAGGCAGGAGAAGGGGCAGTTGTTTAGCAGCCCAAGGCTTCCTTGCCCAGCCCTAGTCTCTTAGGAGCTCGAGGCTTTATTTCTCTACCAGTCTTAACCATAACCCTGCACATGGCCTCTCTGAGCCTTAGGCTAAAGTCTGCAGCAACTGTCAAGGTGAGAAACTTCCAGGAGGAATGTTTTTGCAGCCTGTGCCTTCCTGCAGCCGCTGCTCTGCAGCTCTGCTGCCATGGGAGCGGTGGCTTTGTCTGGCTCCCAAGCCTGATCCTGACCCTAGAGCTTGGTTGTGGTTGAGGCTTGGCCAAGAGCCTCAGCCCTGGCTGAGGTGAAAAAGCTGTCAGGTATTAAATGTTTTTGCAGCCTAAGCCTTCCCTTAGTGGATTTCTTACAGCCCTAGGCCATGGATTTCGTCTCCCAACTCGGAATGCTGGTCTCGGCTGAGACTTGGCCAAGTGCCCAGCCCTTGTTGAGATGAAAAAGCTATTAGGGAGGAAATGATTTTTAGGCTGTGCTTATTTGGCAGCTCTGATTCCTTAAATTTCAAAGTGATTTGCTAATACAGTTAAATCAGGGCTCTTCATTAAATTCTTTTTTTTTTTTTTTTCATTTTAGCTATGACTTTTAGTGCCTAACACTGTTCAGCACTTTCCTTTTAATAAGTTTCCCTTTCGGCTTTATGTAACTTGTTCTCAATAATACTTTGTCTCTCATGGGATAGGAAGCTTGCCACTGTAGGTTTTGTGTTTTCTTAAATAATCTGTATTCGTGAAAGCAGCCCTGCGTCCATCAATGCAGGAAATACAGGGATGGGATATTAAATTCTTGTTTTTATTGAGTAGCTATCAAAGCATTTTTTCTCTCTGGAAACGTACAACGAATGTTGTTTCACTAGTGTCATAGTGAAATGTTCACTCAACAAGTCTTTCTCGTAGAGGTATTGCGATATTTCATCTTGAAGCTTATGCAAGAAGAGGTTTTACTTAGGATTTGGGTTGTTTTTTTCATTGTCCTTATTCACCCATTTGTACGTGTCATTTGTTCTCCTTCTCAAAATTCATGTTATGCTAATAGGGCAGATCAGCAGTGATGGAGCAAAGGTGAAGTCAGGAGTCTGCCTGTGCCTCTCGGTTCCTGAGAGAACTTGTAAACGGTTGTCCAGTGCAAACTATTTATCTTTGGTACTGAAAGGACATTGATTTTTTTTTTCCATCTCTCTCCTTTATTTGTACATTTATTTATTTATTATTTCTGTCTATTCAGTTTTTCCTTACATGCAATAGTTCCTTTTGAGAAAACTGTCACTAATTCTAGCATTGATTTTTAAAGCATTAAAAGCTTAGAAGTAGGTGTTTCTGAGGCCACTCATGCTTTTCAGAAATACAAATAATATCTGTCTGTTATGTAACTTACAGATTTTGGGGAAGAATGTTTGAGTGCTTTTAACCATGAGGCAAGCTGCAGGGAAAATGAAAAAATATTACTTGAAGCTTACTTTTTACTTGTCTACTTTATTTCTTTGTGTTGTAGTGATGTAGAAGTCCAGAATTTGAGTCTGTGATGCTTAACCAGTGGAAAGTAATGATAAAACTATATTTTCTGTAGTTACCAATTTTTTTTATATATTCTTTTTCAACCTTAAAATCAGGGAAAATTAGGAAAATAAAAATTGAATACGCATATTGTAAACTACTTGATTTCAGTACAACTCGATTGTAAATATCACAGTCTAAAATACCCTACATATATATTCAAAATAACAGTATTTTTCCATACATTGGTAATCTCCTCTTCCAGTTATGTCCTACCTCTCCCATACAGCTGTTCACTGACTTAGTGATGGGTTAATAGAATGCTGAGGTTTTTTGTTCTTTTAGAATTTGGAAAAATCTGTTAATGTCATGGTCTACTGTTAAATACGTATTGTTGATTGCTTTGCTGATTATCTTTGATTTGTCAAATCTCCGTGAGTATTTAAGTTATATATAGCATTCCCTCTTGTTCAAATTGCATTCAAATTTAGTCGCTGTGCAGAAGTAGCTCCTTGTCTTTGAACAATAGCAGATGCAAACCTTTCAAACTGTGGCTCACAGCGCACATTTGAAAACCTTGAGTGATGGACATACTGGAGTCCTTTGTGACCTTATTCAGGACACGTATTGAGAGGTTAAACTTAGGAGTGTCCGAGTGCAGATCTCCCAGATAAAACTACACCAGCTATTCCACAGCTTTTCAAGAACGATGTGTCGTGAAACAAAGGGAGATTTTCTATAGGTAGACCTTTATGAATGGACTTAATTTCTGAAGTGTATAACTGTTGCCTTGTTGTTGGTAGTTTAACAGATTTTGACCTTTCCCCCCCTTTCCAGATTTTGGCGTTAGTGCATTTTTAGCAACAGGAGGCGATGTTACTCGTAACAAAGTAAGGAAAACGTTTGTTGGTACTCCATGTTGGATGGCCCCAGAAGTAATGGAGCAGGTATTCCTAACATTAAAAATATTTTCACTATTCAGTTTTTGGAACTTGATACATCACCACTTTGTGTTTCCTTTCTGGTTCCATTCTAGGTGCGAGGTTACGACTTCAAGGCTGATATGTGGAGTTTTGGGATAACAGCCATTGAGTTAGCAACTGGAGCGGCACCGTATCACAAATACCCTCCTATGAAAGTAACAATCACTTTGCATTGCTGAATGCTGTTAGCTGTAGTATTAATGCTATTAGAGAGTTAGTACTACTTTATTTTCAAAAGCAAGTCAAGATATCTAAATAAACGTATTCTGTGGAATCCTTACTCTCTTTTAATTTTTACATATTTTTGAATTGATTTTGCTTACAGTACCTCTTGTTGCATTCACTGTAGGTGTTAATGCTGACACTTCAAAATGACCCTCCCACTTTAGAGACAGGTGTAGAAGACAAGGAGATGATGAAAAAGTATGGCAAATCCTTTAGAAAACTAATTTCATTATGCCTTCAAAAAGATCCTTCCAAAAGGTAGGTCATTATTGCTATGCACAGTGGAATTTTTTTTTTATAAATATACAGACTATTTAAAATTCCAATTAAACATCATCTTTAAGTGTATGTATTGAATTTTTTAAATAGCAGCCTTCAGTCATCTTCATCTGGGGAGAAGAAATTGCCTCTTAATTGTTGCTTAAGTTTTCTTCTTCTTCTAGGTGGTTAACTTCTTTTATTTATACTTAAATAAACTTTGATCAAACAAAAGTCCTTGTTTTACATCTTAATTTCTCATCTGAGGCAAGATAAGAATTTTGATGTTGTGCATGTCTAAAAGGCTGTTCATATTGATCAGATAAAACTGTTGGTAATCAAACATATCAATCTCTTGCCCTTTAACATAAAACTAAAAATAAATAAATAATTTTATGCTGATTTTTCTCGTTTTGTGACATAAGCTTAGTGTTGCCCTTAACTCGGATATTTCCAGAGAAGATTACTTATTAAGAGATACTTTTTTTTTACTGTAAAGTTGGAGATTCCAAGCTTGTTTAGAATTTTCCTCGTTTCGTTATTTTTCTTGCTGTGTTTTGTGAATGTGATAGCTGAGATGATGAAAATATTAAACATCTATTCCAAAATTATTGCTGAGGTCCCAAGTTCCCAGAAAAACTAATTTATTTATCCTTTATTCATTTTTATGCAGATCCATTTTTGTAGGTTTCTCTTGTTGAAGAGTTGGAGGAAGTACATGCTAATTAACATTATTTCCTAAGGGTATTTAATATATCACCTTTTTTAAGAGTTTCACATCGGATATTTCTGGGGAAAAAAAGATTGTTGTGAGAGAGCAATCCTGACTGAGTACTGTGTGGGTCTTTTATGGTGTATACTTCTCTTCACTGATGTTAAATCTCACTTAAGTCCAAGGACATTGTTATAAGGAGTCAAGTCGAGAAGGTAACAGCAGCAGTAGAGAACAAGTATAACTAAGAAAAATGATTATGTGACACCATCTTTATACTTGAAACCCTTCAAATTCTTTTTTTTCACTGTAGGATCATCTGTGCACAGTTTTCAGAGTCCCAAACCCCTTGCAAGTGGTGATCTTAGTGGCAAGTTCAGAAGCTGAAGCTTTAAGCTTAGCACTGCAGTTTGACTGCTTACAGATAAGAATGAAATATGTTCTGGATAATGAAGCTTCTTTCAGTTTCTAGTGTCCAGCAATTCTCAGGGCAGGATTCAATTGGTATGAAAACATGAGAAGCAAATAATTAAATTAGTTTTCCTTCTCTTCTTGAACGTGTAGTGCTGAGTTACCTGTAGTTGTGACATTAATGTTTAAGCTAGTTGCACTAATTTATTACACTATTTGAACACATGCAATATCTTCATACTTATGATTGCCTTGAACTGGAGAGTTCGGCCAGCAGATGGGTGATTAGATCTGTGCGCCAGTTGTGCCAGCTGAGGAGTGAGTGTCGTTATATTGTGGTGTCATCACTATTTCTGATGTTTCTCCCAAGCCAGGATTTAATTTTGCATGGAGATACCTCCATAGTTGTCCTGTCCAGTGTGGGAGAAAGGCCTGGCAAGCTCTGGGACTGGCATTGCACTGTTGTCTCAGACGAGGATGTTTTTCTGTTGGAGGTCTGTGTGTGGGTGTTTCTCTCTCTGCCCAGTGCCAAGGATGCTGCTTGCAGCCCTCAGCTGCGGTTCAGTGCTGCAGCGTGTGTGGAAAACAGGCCCAGAGAGCATGTCCAGACCCATTCAGAAGGGTCTGGCATAATTAATGGTAGTGGAACGAGAACACTAGTTTGAATAAAAATCTGTCTTTTAACTGTACATATCCCTGTTACGAGATGTGATGGTACTGGGTTGCTGAAATTGTCTTAGGAGTTAATTTGAGATAGAACTTCAAAACTTTGCCGCTTTTGGATTTTTGTTATTGTTGTTTTGGTTTTTTGTGTTTTTTTTCTTCTTCCAAATGTTCCCCTTCTTTTTTGCTCATCGAAGGTTTATGTGTGAATTACTGCTAAGCCTGAGGATCTCCGCAGTCCTACTATTAAGGACTCCTTTATTGTAGAGTTTGGTGCTTTGGGGGGGAAGAAAGATAAATGGAAGTACTATCCATGTCTAAACTGGATGCTTTTGGTTAGTGTCAGTTTTTTAATTTTTTCTAGCGGGAGTGAACTGATATGTTTGTAGACAAGAGATACAACTGCCCTTTTCTTTACTTACTCTTCAGGTGTGTCTTCAGAGTAACAAACTAGTTGAAATTTGGTGTTTTTTTGAGACAGAAATTTTGCCAAATCGAAACTTTTCACTGTCCTATCTATTTTGTGCTATATACAATCTCTTCCTTTAATTCAAATGGAAGATGGTAGCAGATGTTATTGCTTCTTTTCATTCAGAAATGATGAATCTTGGACATTTCAGCTCCCCTAAATTTAGCTGTTTCAAAATTAGTCTTGGATAATGATACGGGCTCCTAATGAAAGGGATGAAAAGAACCTGGAAGATTTTATTTCACCCCAAGAGGTGCTTCGCATTCTTTCCAGAGTCTGTTTCAGTATTAGTCTAATCTTTGGCTAGATAAGTAGCTTTATAGATCCCTGAAACTAGGGAAGACAAATCTTACTGTTGGAATCACTTCAGTAGCTGTGAGATTGTGATTATCTATTGCAAACTTGACAATGATGGGAAGAAAGAGACTTGGAGAGAACTGCAAGTAAAAGTGAAATGTTTAGATTTACAACTGTTGCTTAAGTTTTTATTGGTCCCTTTGGTTGGAAGATGCTCCTGATGACTCTCTCTTTGGTTTATGCGTCATGTTATAGTGCCACTATAGCTTTTTGTGGATACCTGCTGACTTCTGCAGTGAAGTGTAAGAATGCTGGTAGCAGGCGTAGATGCTACTGTTTGGAAAATGCAATTGTTCTTTTATTACTATGGAGCGAAGTTGAGTTGCATTCATAGAGTCAGTTGGGGAAGAACATGACATCTGACTTGTGTATTTGCTTTAAGGGTAAAATGCATTTGTGTTGAAAGAAAAAGGGGGAAAATTGGCAACTTAGAGACTGATTTTTATTTTTTTTGTATTTTTGCCATAGAGAGTGTTAATTTTTTCATGTGTGGTAAGTGATTACGTGTGAAATAATTCAGTAGCTATTATCATTCATTCCCCATTCATGCAGTACTAATTCAAAAGTGTTAGAGACGTACCATTTAACTAACGTCTTGTACTGTATTCACTGAGAGGGGTCTTTGTTTTCTGTTCTAATTTATTATTGATCTTTCAGGCCCACAGCAGCAGAACTTTTAAAATGCAAATTTTTCCAGAAAGCCAAGGTAAAACGTTTAACCCTATGAGTAAATTTTGCTCTGCCTTAAAATCTACATGAAATTTCTTCTTCCCTTGTATTGATTTTTAACTTAGCAAATGTTGGTTTTGCAGAACAGAGAATACCTGATTGAAAAGCTTCTCACTAGAACGCCTAATATAGCACAAAGAGCAAAAAAGGTGAGTGCATTTGCATCTGTTTCTTTACTGTTATCCAAGAGAAAGCAGAGACTTTTTATTTACCTTACATTTTAATTGTCTGACTGAGCCACTCTTAGGAAATCCTTCAACAATGCTGACTGCTGCATGAGGGGTTTCTTCAACCTAGCTTTCTCCAGTAAGCCAGGAGGCATTCTGCCTTCCTTTCTGGCCTTGCCAAAATGATATGGGTTATTTGTCATCATACCTTACAGGATTATTTTTTTTACCCACTTCCGTTTAGAAAGCTACAGGTGAAATGGTTGCACAAATAAAATTATCTGTGAGGTTCATATACCGCAGAATTCATGTCTTAACTGATCACCTGGAGAAAGGATGCAGATACCATAGATGATATTTAATGAGGACTACTTGGTTCTTTGGGTTATTGCATACATGACGGCCAAATGTATGGAAGTTGCGCCCAAATTCTGCAAGAGTGCAGCTGGGTTGTTCAGACCAATGGAGTGATGGTGATGGAGTTAAACCCACGGCTGCAGGATATAGAGCTGTTTTTGTGGTGCCTTTGGTACTTGTGTCCATGAGCTTACCAGGTGACGTGCAGCAGAACTAAAAAAATATAATTGTTAACAGGTAAGTATTTTGAAAGTATGAAGCAAGCTACTGTTCAGGAGAGCTAATAAACAGCAACAGCTGGAGACTCCTGCTTATTGCGTGTGCGAAATTATGGAACTCGCTTTCTGCGGTGAGTGGTCATGTCTCTCTTATGAGGAACTTCCTCAGAGGGTGCTGAGCCTCTGCAGGAGGCAGGTACTGTGCTTTCTGCAAAGCAAGCCGCCTGGGAGGTTGTTTCGAGGAAGGCACTCCAGGAAAGCGAGATTTTCTGTTGTCTTTGTGAATATTGATTTGGTGTAATTCTTTTGACACTGAAGTGTTTCTACAGCTTGTGCCTTGTACTTGGAAGAGACTGTCGGCAAGATCTGAATGCTTTAAGTTCCTTCTAATCTTGTTTTGGGTGAAAGTAATTTGGGAAATCAGAGGCAGTGATGGGGCTCTGTGAGAGGTTGTGTTGCGATTTTCAAAGGGAAGGTCGCAAAAACGACAGAACTT